TTATCTCAAAAAACAAAAAGTTTAAATCAAAAACATTAAACCCGAAGTTAGCAACAATGAGGATAACAATTTAATTTTTAAATACTAATACCAACCTTAATTTCTGATTTTTTTTTATATTTTTGTTTTTGTGACAAATTTTAAGACATTTTATAAAAATTAAGAATATGTCAAAATTGACGTTGACATTTCTAACCGGAAGTTTACTATAACTTCGTTAATATTGATAAATATGTCGTGTTTGTACTCACTTTAAAGGAGTTTTAATGAAGATTACAAATATGTCAAAATTGAGGTCGACATTTTATACCTGAAGTTAGTTATCAGTTATCATATAATAGACAAATGGACAACTTCATGGTGTTCTTTCATGATGATTTATCTTTATCAAAAAAAGCTTTAAAATGTGTCCAAATATGATGCACTTATCTCAAAACACAAGAAAGAGAATAAAAAATATTAAACCCGAAGTTAGCAACAATGAAGATAGCAATTTAATTTTTAAATATTAATACCAACCTTAATTCTGATTTTTTTTATTATTATATTTTTGTTTTTGTGACAAATTTGAAGACATTTTATAAAATTAAGAATATATCAAAGAGAAATTGACATTTTAAACCGGAAGTTGCTTATATCTCGAGTAATATTGGAATTAAACGTATCGTGTTTGGGCTCATTTTAAAGGATTTTTCACGACTGTTACAAATATGTCAAAATTGAGGTTGTCATTTCTAACCGGAAGTTGACCATAACTTCGTTAATATTGAAGATAAATATTTCGTGTTTATACTCATTTTAAAGGATTTTTAATGAAGATTACAAATATGTCAAAATTGAGGTTGACATTTTACACCTGAAATTAGTTATCACATAATAGACAAATGGACAACTTCATGGTGTTCTTTTGTGATGTATTCTTTATTAAAAAACTTTTAAAATGTGTCCAAACATGATGCATTTATCTCAAAAAACAAGACAGAGAATAAAAAACATTAACCTTGAATGTTTTGAGTTTTAGATCTAGTGTTAGTTCAAGTTTTACACTAACACTATCATTAGAACTAACACAAGATCTAGAACTAGAATCATTCGGGTTTAGCCGTCTTTAGAGACGTGCGGCTAAACCCGAATGTTTCTAGTTCTAGGTCTAGTGTTAGTTCAAGTTTTACACTAACACTATCATTAGAACTAACACAAGATCTAGAACTAGAATCATTCGGGTTTAGCCGTCTTTAGAGACGTGCGGCTAAACCCGAATGTTTCTAGTTCTAGGTCTAGTGTTAGTTCAAGTTTTACACTAACACTATCACTAGAACTAATACAAGACCTAGAACTAGAAAGATTCGGGTTTAGCTATACTGAGAGACGTGCAGATAAACCCGAATGTTTCTGGGAGGCCGACAACATCTAGAATTTTTCTAATGTAATTTTTGCTTAAAACTGAGCAAAATAGCAAGCTTGCTTTTTGGCGCTTCAATTTGAAAACACTCCTTCGAATTAAGAAATAGAGTATACCTAAGTTTAACGGTTTTCATAAAAGTGAAAACCTACTGAAAATTACCTTACCTACATTGGAAGTAAATTATTTGTTATTGACTATTTAAGTTTAAAACGAGAGTAGTTTCATAGTTCTACAGGGTCCTGCAACAGTGCGTTAGGTATCCATAGCTCCTATACCAATTAAGTTAGGAATTTCTTTCAAACGCAGACTTGTACTAGATGGTGTGTCCGTAAAGTAACGGATATAGGTGATAAAATTATTACAAACGGTTTATGGAAAAATCCCTGAAACGGGTCTAAAGGTGGCTACACACATAACTGCAAACTTGATAGTCTTTTTGAACAAGCATGTAAACTTTTCCTTCGACACCACAGGATACAAGTATACTTGAACAAGCGCCAGTTTGCGTTTGGACTATGTCGAGTTCGGACGACGATGCGTTCGCACTTGCAACTTTTTGCCTTGTCCATAAAAAGAAAACGCGGAAAAAGAAACGTGATATATGGTGTAAAGAGTGGTTAATGAAAAGAAAAACCTACTCCCATATTAATTTACTGAGTGAACTTCTTGGAGTCTCTTGATCTCCCAAAAAGTCAAACAAATGGTAGTACCACAGTGACGGCTCATATACTTCATCTGTATCAATGCCAGAGTGACGAGATGCTTCGACTTTTTCCTTTTCTCTTTTATAATTAGTCCTCAACGCATTTAACTTCTTAACAATAACATCTTTATCGGCGTTGTTATCAATTAATCTATATTTACTTATCATGATACTCTGGTGATTTAATTCGCCAAAGACACGGGTGACTTTGGTATGCCCGAATAAACTCTTCCAGTACTATTCAAATTCAAATTTGTTTAACATGATAAAAATAGTAGTAGCTATGAGTAACTATAGTAACCAATCATTTGAAACAATTTCCTAAGTGTCAAAAAGTGATTTAGTATAGCTTGTTGAAGTGTGGTGGCGTGCCATCTTGTTGGGTCAACATTATCGGAAAATCTGGCTGTTATGAAAGGAATGATATCGTTTTGAAAAAATCTAAACATCTCTCTCCAGTTAAAGTTTCTTCAAAAAAATAATGACCCAGGAGTATCCCGTACTATTTCGCTCCACATATTGATCTTTTGCGGATATTGAGTGTGACTTTCTTGCTCAATATGAATTTTGAGTAGCCCAATATCGACAATTTTGTCTATTTATTTGTCCGCTCAATGTAAATGTTCCCTCGTCGGTAACAATTATGTTTTTGGCAAAGTCTTCGTTGTCGTTGTAAAATTGTTGTTGCAAAAACTGAGGTTTACTTGATAGGAATGATATTTTGCCGGTTTACTAATGTCCAAATTAGACCCAATACCCCTTACAGTAAGAAGTAACATGAGGGTTCTCTTACCCAGCTAAAACCACGTTTTGTTTAACTTCCCCTGAAACATTTGGTAGGCCAGACTTCGAGAAATGCTTCAAGGGGTGCCCATGGTTTTTAATTTGCTCACAGCTAGGCTCACCATACTTTGGCTAATGAGTTGACGATCGGGATATGTTGTATTAAAGAGGTCAACTACTTACTAAACCATATTTTGACACTTAGGAAATTGTTTAAAGTGATTGGTTACCATAGTTACTCATGGCTACTGCTATTTTTATCATGTTAAGCATATTTGAATAGTTAAATTTTAAACTAATTTCTTTCGAAAGTTTTCTTATGTAACCAACATTAATATTAACTGTACTGGATTCAGAACAAAATCCACTTTCATATGCCGTAATAATAATGGGGGATTGCCATTTGAAAAAAAATATCGATGACGTCATAATTCATTTAAGAATGGCGGAAAAAAATTAAAATCTACACCAAAAAATTGCAAAAAAATTTAAATCTTTAGACCCGTTTATTACGATTTTATCGCCTATGTTCGTTACTTTACGGACATACTGTATATACTGTACTGGTCCAAAAAAGTGTGACGACACAACATGTATTTTTTTAATGGGCGTATTTGTGGTTTTTGGTAAATATCTTGAGAACGCTCCAGAATTTTAAGATACTTTGTATTACAAAAAATATTTGTATTTAAATTCTGTATAAGATAGTAAAATAATATACAAGGTGAAAATCTTAAGAAAAATTTGTTTAAAAATTTTCTTCTTAAAATTTTGGACATCTGTATAAAACAGGAAATCTGTGTTGTTTGATCCCGTAAGCAGTAAGAAAAGAACAATAAATTTCAGAAGTAGGATCTAGGACAATTAAAACAACTATTTTAACATGCCAATATTTCGATTAAATTTTTAACCTTCCTCAGGGCTTGATTCTACAACGACAAAACATCAATAGAAAAACAGCATTAAAAAATTTTGCTCTTAAACATACCTAAAGTTGTTGAAACTGGCGAACATTAATACAAAAAACGTGGAAAACAATAAATTATTATCAAACTTTGGCAAGATTAAAAATTTAATCGAAATATTGGCATGTTAAAATAGTTGTTTTAATTGTCCTAGATCCTACTCCTGAAATTTATTGATTTTCTCTATCTGTATAAAATTTAAAAAAACTGTTTTATGTCAAAGTATCGTTAGACTTCTTGCATTAAAATTCACACTATGTAGTTCGAACAAAACAGATCGAAGACAAGGTGCACAAAAACGATTTTTTATGGTTTTTAATTAATAACTCGTAAACTAGTAAAGCAAATTAAAAAAAAATTTGGGGTATAAGAAATAACATAAAAGAGAAAATATGTAAAAAATACAGGATGTTCCATTTAAAAAAAATACATTTTGTGTCGTCACACTTTTTTCGACCAGCCCGTATATGTGAATATAATATATATATATATATATATATATATATAATATATATAGTACAAGTCTGCGTTTGAAAGAAATTCCTAACTTAATTACTATAGGAGCTATGAATGCCTGACGCACTGTTGCAGGACCTGTATATTTAAGCTGTTCTGTGTTTTTTGATACATTTATTTATGATGCCTGCATTGTTCAGGCGAAATATGTCAAAATAGAAACAATAATTCTTTGAAGAAAATAATAAATTTAAACCAATAAAAGTGCATTTTAACTCTTACCTTTGGAATTAAAAAAAATTGTTTAATTATATACAAATTTGTTTTACTTATTTACTTACGATTGTTTCAACGGTAGAACNATCCATAGACAAAAATTGTCACATTGACAACTAGAAAAATTAATGACCCAATGTCACCAACTTGAACTGGTTCCATAAAATGTTACTAAAATCTCATTACAGCATCGGATGCTGTAAGGAGTCTCATTACAGCACCCGTTTGAGTACTGTTATAGCTTCCATTACCGTAGCGAATTACAAAAAAGTGTATTACCAAATTATTTGTAGTATTTCTAAGTATTCATCTTGTGCGTTTCATTGTAAGTAAATTATTTAAGTTTAAAACGAGAGTAGTTTCATAGTTCTATACAATTCTATATTTACACTGTTCTGTTTTTTGATAAATTTATTGATTTTTGATAAACATATTGAAATATGATGATGACTGCATTGTTCAGGTGAAACATGTCAAAATAGAAACAATAATTCTTTGAAGAAAATAATAAATTTAAACCAATAAAAGTGCATTTTAACTCTTACCTTTGGAATTAAAAAAAATTGTTTAATTATATACAAATTTGTTTTACTTATTTACTTACGATTGTTTCAACGGTAGAACTAGCTTCATCTTCACGCAACCTCAACAAAGGATTAGCTTCGCCCCGAACGTGTTGTCGCTCCCTCCTTTCTCGATTCCCTTGCATTATATCCCAATTTTCGATGCTATCGCTAGTTCCGCGCCTTCTACTCAAAAACACAGCCCTCCGATTTCTCGCCTCCGGATCTAACATGGCTAATCTTGCGATTCTCGTCGCCATCCCCGGGGTAATACTAACATCATCACTTCGAGGAATCGGCGAAGGAACCGGCGCGATTTCCACCGAGCTTCCATTTGGATCTTCTTCAGCGCATGGTTCTAAAAGGGGGTGTTCCAACATCCACATCGCTAAGTGATTAATATTATGGGCATTAACCGGTGCTTCTAAAGAACTTCGCGTTTCTAAGATGGCTTTTAAAATGTGACAAAGTGTGAATCCCATTTCTAAAAGGGGGGCTGCTATCGGGGGTGGAGGTGGCGAATTTGATCGTCTTCGAAGCCACGCGGGATCGTTTTCGGGGTTTTCTTGGGTGGTTAAATTAAGTGAACGCATTCTCAATGCGATTTGAGCCCCTTGAGATGAAGTTGAGTCGGGGTAAATCGATCTTGTTGTGATGTAACCCCCCGTTGGGATTGCCAATGAAATTGTAAACCGCGGATTTAACGGTTCGGTTGATCGCGAAGATGAAGGCCCACTAATCGGGGATGAAATCATGGAGAATTTACTTTTTTGTTGTAACAACCAATCAACTCTTTGGCGTAATTCGCTTTTATCTAATTCTTCTTCCAAACGACATTTAACGTAATTTGAGTGTAAAACGGTTTCGGCTCGTTCTATTTCTGCGACGCTTACGATGTGCTTTAATTTGCATTGTTGAGTGCTTTTTTCTACAATTGAATGCATCACGACTTTCATTACGTCTAATAAGTCTTTATCGGCGCCTTCTTTATTAAAACTATTTCCTACTAGAAATAATTCCGAGTATTTACTCGATGTTAAAATCGCCCCTAAAGTTTTTAACGCGGAAAATTGTAGAAAAGACGATCTTAAACAATCGATTTCGATGTCTAATAATTTATTTCTTAAAATTTTTGCTTCTAATTTATCGCTTTCGTTCGCCTCATCATCGATTTCTTTAATAACGCTGTCACTTTTCGTGGCCGAAATTTTTTCTGTACTTAATCGTTTCGCTTCTCCCATTATATTTGAAACCATTTCGTTAGTGAGAGATTCCATCGTGCGAATTTTTTCATCTACGATGATTTGAGATTTTGTGTTGGACGTTTTTAAAGTATCCATTGAATATCTTCGTTTAACCCCGAAATTTTCGAATTGAAGCAGATCTTTCTCGGCTTGTGTTAACTCGTATTTGGGGAAATAAATGTCTTCGACGGTTCCACTTAATAAAGCGAGATGGGATAAGATATCCGGGGTTAATCCGTTTAATTTGTATGTACTAAACGGAAGCGGTTCTATGTAGTCTAAATAGGTTATTGGGACGTCTGTTACTTCGCCGTCTGATTCCCATTGGATTTTTACGGTTGTTACACCGCGTTTTGTGATTCCCAACACGATTCCCGTTTGACCAGAAGTTTTGTGTTTGCAAATACTTCCCATTCTTAAACCTCTATCGACACCTACATAAAAAATTAACGATTAAATATAAAAAAATAGGGTGACTTTGATTTTTACCTCCAATAACAGCGAGTGCTGGCCAAACATCTTTGCATAAAGACTCCGTATCTAATTTGTAAAGGTCATTTTTGATTTGTTCTTCGGTTTCGTTGGGAATTTTTGAAACACCACCGATTATTTTTCCAAACCTTGTTATAATCGAGGAATTAATCTATTAAGAAAGAGATAAAATGTTGAATAATTATCACCTTTACCTTATTTTGGGCAATTAAGAAACGATTTATACTTTAAATTGGAGCTAAAAGAATCTATTTTTAGATCATGTATAGAAATAATTGAGGTTGATGCAAAAAATTTCTTGAAATCGAATCCTTTATGAAAATTTGTCAAATTGGATTTTATCGAAAAAAGTAAAAATTTTAAATAATCACCTCAACCTTATTTTGAGGTATTAAGCATTGATTCATATCTTAAATTATAGCTAAAAGAATCTATTTTAAGATAATGTATAGAAATATATATGTTATATTTACAAAAATTTTTGAAATTAATTTTTTTCTTAATTAAGGTTATGTCATGGAAAATGACAGTTTAAAATTGTTACCTTTACCTTATTTTGAGGAATTAAGAAACGATTTATACCTTAAATTGAAGCTAAAAGAATGTATTTTTAGATCATGTACAGAAATGATTGAGGTTGATGCAAAAAATTTCTTGAAATCGAATTTTTATGAAAACTTGTTAAGTTGGATTTTGTCGAAAAAAGTAAAAAATTTAAATAATCACCTCAACCTTATTTTAAGGTGTTAAGAATTGATCCATACCTAAAATTAAAGCTAAAAGAATCCATTTTAAGATAGTGCATAGAAATATATATGTTATATTTACAAAATTTTTTGAAATTAATTTTTTCTTAATTAAGGTTATCTCATGGAAAATGACAGTTTAAAATTGTCACCTTTACCTTATTTTGAGGAATTAAGAAACGATTTACACCTTAAATTGAAGCTAAAAGAATGTATTTTTAGATCATGTACAGAAATGATTGAGGTTGATGCAAAAAGTTTCTTGAAATCGAATTTTTATGAAAACTTGTTAAGTTGGATTTTGTCGAAAAAAAGTAAAAAGTTTAAATAATCACCTCAACCTTATTTTGAGGTGTTAAGAATTGATTCATACCTTAAATTGAAGCTAAAAGAATCTATTTTAAGATAATGCATAGAAATATATATGTTATATTTAACAAAATTTTTTGAAATTAATTTTTTTTTAATTAAGGTTATGTCACAGAAAATGACAGTTTAAAATTGTCACCTTTACCTTATTTTGAGGAATTAAGAAACGATTTATACCTTAAATTGAAGCTAAAAGAATCTATTTTAAGATAATGCATAGAAATATATATGTTATATTTACAAAATTTTTTGAAATTAATTTTTTTCTTAATTAAGGTTATGTCATGGAAAATGACAGTTTAAAATTGTCACCTTTACCTTATTTTGAGGAATTAAGAAACGATTTATACCTTAAATTGGAGCTAAAAGAATCTATTTTGAGATTATGTATAGAAATGATTGAGGTTGATGCAAAAAATTTCTTGAAATCGAATCCTTTATGAAAACTTGTCAAGTTGGATTTTGTCAAGAAAAGTAAAAATTTTAAATAATCACCTCAATCTTATTTTAAGGAGTTAGGAATTGATTCATACCTCAAATTGAACCGAAAAGAATCTATTTTAAGATAGTGCATACAAATATACAGCTGTCTCCGAAATGCGTGTACAACGGAAGACCACAGATTCCTTGGTTCAAAATAGGTCGATTTAAGTTAAGTTATCTATATCCAAAGTTGGTTCGTTTCGCCGCTAGAGGACTTCAAAGTTAGCAAAAAAAATTCTTAATTCTTTAAAATTTTTTATAACTCGAAAACACGTAAATCAATTGAAACCATTTTTCAGAAGTGAGTTCCTAGGTTCAATTTACGTCTTTTTATGGTTTTTGATACAATTTCAGAAACACAGGAATGATGGAAAAGTCATGTGTTCACCGAATATTACCCCATATTTTTTTTCTGGCCAGGCGACAATTACATTATTATAATTTCTGAATAGCCCATTTAGTTCTGAACCGTTTTTGTCTCTTATAAGATTTTGATTACATAAGTGGTTAAGCCAGAAAAAAGGTATTTTTACATATCTGCAAGCCTTGTTTACGTCATTGCAGCTACAAAAGTTACCTCATCGTAGTTGGCACTGATTTCAACTAAATCCAATTTATGTTTAACGTGAATACAATATATCATTAATTGATCAAAAGCGTGGGAATTTAATGATCCTCAAAGCATACAGTGTTAGGAAAAAACGTAGTTGTATTTAGTTGATTCAGTACGACAAAGAAAAACTTTTAATCAATTCTAAGAAACAAAAGGATAATGCATGCGTTATTGCAATGATAAAACATAACTCTAGTATGCTTTGCATTTAACATCAACAAATCGTGTTTAACGTTATTTTTATGATGGATACTTACACATATGTTGAGCAACTAGATATGATTTTAGTTTATGGCCAATGTCAATTTAAGGGTCGCAAAAGCATTCGAGTCTATAGGGAAAAGTTTCCTAATCGTCGAGTGCCAAATCACCAAACGTTTGGAAATATCGTCTCATGGAAGCAAGTAGCTTGAAACCAAAATACACAGACCGTGGATATCAACATACAAGGCGAACTGTAGAGTTGGGTTGGGTTGGGTTCATGAAAGAGTGGCAGAAGACCCTAAAATTAGTACGAGGCGCTTAGAAAATCAACTAGATGTTGTCCATACGGTAATAAAATAACAATTATTTCACCCATACCACCTTCAAAAAATGCAAGAGCTTTTACCTGTGGATCACGAAATGCGTTTGACTTTCTGCCAACTCATCCAAAACGAAAGAATCCACGACCCACATTTTAGTAAAAGGATTTTATTCACAGATGAGGCAACGTTTACCAGATCTGGTATCACTAACATGCGTAACGATCATGTTTATGCTGAAGAAAATCCGCATACGACCACAGCAGTCCATCATCAGCATCAATTGAAAATCAATGTTTGGGCTGGAATTATTGACGATAACATCATTGGACCGATAATAATAACAAATCGGTTAAATGGCGAAGTTTATTTAAATTTATTAAGACAGTCGCGATATGTGGTTCATGCACGATGGTGCTCCGTCACATTTTACGATGGCTGTTCGGCAATATTAAAACTAATATCAGACCTTACACACTTGCAGCAAAATCACAAGACCTTGCACCGTGTGATTATGTTCTATGGGGGGCATTGAAGTCAAAATTCTATGCCTCTACAATTGATAGTGAAGAAGAATTACGAAGAAAACTTTGGTTAGCATTATTTAATACATTAAATAATAGCGAAATAATGGACAGAGTGCCATTTAACTTTTTACGACGAGTAAATTTATGTGTTTTGAAAAACGGTGGTCATTTTGAACAATTTTTGTAAATATTTCTTACTTGTTGTTACCTTTTGTTTCTTAGAATTGATTAAAAGTTTTTCTTTATAGTACTGAAATAACTAAATACCAATACGTTTTTTCCTAACACTGTATGCTTTTAGGATCATTGAATTCCTATTGTATTCACGTTAAACATAAATTGCAATTAGTTGAAATCAGTGCCAACTACGATGAAGTAACTTTTAACTGCAATGACGTAAGCAAGGCTTGCAGATATGTAAAAATACCTTTTTTCTGGCTTAACCACTTATGTAATCAAAATCTTATAAGAGACAAAAACGGTTCAGAACTAAATGGGCTATTCAGAAATTATAATAATGTAATTGTCGCCTGGCGAGAAAAAAAATATGGAGTAATATTCAGTGAACACATGACTTTTCCATCATTCCTGTGTTTCTAAAATTGTATCAAAAACCATAAAAAGACATTAATTGAACCTAGGAACTCACTTCTGAAAAATGGTTTCAATTGATTTACGCGTTTTCGAGTTATAAAAAATAAAAGATTTTTTTTTGCTAACTTTGAACTCCTCTAGCGGCGAAACGAAGTAACTTTGGATATAGATAACTTAACTTAAATCGACCTATTTTGAGCCAAGGAATCTGTCTTCCGTTGTACACGCATTTCGGAGACACCTGTATATGTGATATTTACAAAAAATTTTGAAACTGATTTTCTTTTAAATCAAGGTTATGTCACGGAAAATGACCGTTCAAAATTATCACCTTTTCCTTATTTTGAGGAATTAAGAAATGATTTATACCTTAAATTGAAGCTAAAAGAATCTATTTTTAGGTCATGTGTAGAAATAATTGAGGTTGATGCCAAGGACAGTAGAATCTAACAGGACTGCTACATCCATTGTATTTTTGTAGTCCACTACGGATTGGTTGCCCGCACTCTACGTCACACTATTTGCCACGCCTGGTAACTGTCTGTGTTTTTAGAGGTTATATGATAGACATTAATACGTCTAAAAACATAAAACTTCAAAAATAATATGAATACGTCTAGGATATAACCTCTAAAAATACACAGTAAACGCATAGACCATAACAACAGCTGGAAAATGGTGTGACGTAGTTTGCGGGCAGGTTGTCACAACAATGGATGTAGATTCTACTGTCCTTGCATCAACCCAATGCCCGCAAACTACGTCATACCATTTGCCACGCCCAGCTCTATGTGTTTGCTGTGTATTTTTAAAGATTATATCGTAGACGTATTCATATTATTTTTGAAGTTTTATTTTTTTTACACGTATTAATGTCTATCATGTAACCTCTAAATCTCAAAAAACACACAGCCAACGCATAGTACTCAATGACAGTTAACAGGGCGTGGCAAATAGTGTGACGTAGAGTGCGGGCAACCAATCCGTAGTGGGCTACAAAAATACAATGCATGTAGCAGTCCTGTTAGATTCTACTGTCCTTGGGGTTGATGCATAAAATTTCTTGAAATCAATCAAATGAAAACTTGTCAAGTTGGTTTTTATCGAAAAAAGCAAAAATTTTAAATAATTATCTCAACCTTATTTTGAGGAGTTAAGAATTGATTCATACCTTAAATTAAAGCTAAAAGAATCTATTTTAAGATAATGCATAGAAATATATATGTTACATTAACAAAAATTTTTGAAATTAATTTTTTTCTGAATATAGGTTATGTCATGATCATGATAAATGACA